CAAAGTTCATTCTATATAATAATACCCATCTAGCCCAATGCATTGTATAAACCAATGTTAATGAACATATTTTTCCATGAAGATACTGTATGCAGATTGTAAAAGTAGTTCTTGCTTGCCTGAGTTGCACGTTTATTTCAGTTTACAATTTATAATGGCACAAGAATTTAGTCTAAATTGTTAAAATGGTCTTTCTACTGAACTGTTTTAGCTTGGCATTATCACCTCTTTCATTCCCACACTTACTATGAATTTTCTTGCATGTAAATGAATATACTTCTTGTGAAGAGAGTAGAAGCACTGGTGACTGAAGTTCCTTGCAAAAGAACGTGTAGTATGAGCATCAGTGGTTCAGATTTCTTTGTGAAGCCCCTTAATTTTTACTTGAAAAGGTTTTCTTGAGTGCTTAGCTTTTTGTCTCTGCTCAAAATCCCAACAAATTTTGAAACAGTTAAAAAATGTAAAATGTTAAGAATTACATAATTTTTAATGGAGTTATAGTTGATTATTAGTATTAATTAACTAGTTGCATATTTATATTATGCTTTCTCATAGTTTAATATTGATAGTTGTGACAATATGACAAAGTACTTGAGTAATACAGTTCTGAGCTATGCTTTAAGGAGAATTTTATTTGTGTTCAATAAAATAACAGCCATTTATGAACAACAATGAAAATATTTTTGCAATTGAAACAGACTGAAATTGCTTATTTTATTTGAAATAGTATTGTCTACACTCAAATAATTCCTGAAAATAATACGATTTACAAGCTTCTACTCAGACTTGCTTTCCCAAGCAGACTTACTGATAGATTTGCAAATTCCTTCTTCAAAACTCAGCTGTCTTAAATGAATAATCCAGAGATGTCATAATGGCATTTTGAACTTGACGCCCAAACTGACCTAAATGAAATAGTAACATTATTGCTGGACAGTTTTCAATATCTAGGTACTGATATAAAAATATCCTGGATCTCTGAATCATGAAGTTCACAGAGGCCAGTCTCCAAGTCTTGCATGGGAAAAGGTGGAATAGAACCAAGGAAATGTTCTACCATGGCTACATATTTTTAGAGGGCACCTTTAGTATCACAGTGAAAAAAGCATTTCATTGGCACTCATACATGTATTCCTGTAGGCATGAATTTCATGCATTATGTGCAACACATCTCTCACGTGATCAAAATATCTGCAGTGTACAAGTAGTTCACAAGTTATGTCTATCATTTAAAATCTATCACAAAGCTTTTGGCAGCTAATTAGCATTCAGTATCTGTTTGAAATTAGCAAATAGGCAAGAATATGATAAAAATGGATCCCAGTAAAAAAAATGATGACCATTGGAAAATGCTTTTAATAGGAGACTACCATAATAAAGCTTAATCCCTGGATTTATGGCCATATATACAGAAATCCATATGGAATATGCGAGTAATTGATCTTAATTTTATTTGCCTTATGATTGTGTGGACCCTTGGGTAGGAACACCAAGAAATTCCACTTCCAAATAAGTATTTTTATTATTATGGTACGGCTGACCTAATGAAAGCATGTTTTCATGGCCCATTTGAATGATGTCAGATTTTTCATTCTGAAACCCAGTTGCCATTTTATCTGCACTATCAGTTGCCAGGATTGTTATTACTCATCAGAGTTCAGCACTGTGTGCCGTCTTTGTAGCAGAATATAAAGGTAACAGTTGCTGAAGTCATAGTTCATTCTGCAGACTGCTTGCTTCTCCAACTAACTTGTGTACAACCAGGTGTCTAAGTAACTACTTTCTTCTTGGTGTGTGTTTAGTTTACTCCTAAACAATCAACTTAGAGTTTCATGTTTATTACATTTACAAATCACATTTTTCATCATAGTTCTAAATATCTGGTTTTTTCCTTCTAAAAATCTCTCTTGAATCCTGGTAGACTTCACCAGCCAACTATGAGATCTGCCTGTCTCAGGGTTTCCTTTCAGCCCAGCTTCCTAAAACAACCCAAACCTATAGAAAAATTTCTCTCTGACTTCTCCAGATAGGTCTGAGATTACTTTCCTGTATGATTTCAGCTTGTGAATGTATAAGTCAGTAATATGGAAAGATGATTTTTCCAGGAGAGACAGTCCAACAGTATGAATTCTTAAAGGATTTCCTCTGTAATACTTGGTACTGGGCCACTAATTTGCTTAAAAATTATGAAATATGATATTAAGTAGACAAATTAAATCCTTTCCAAAGCAGTAAGCTGTCTAGGCCACCATTACCCATTTGGTAGGACCAAAATAATTTTTGGCTGTATTAATAATGCTCAGGATCAACAGAACTGTTTTCTATCAGAAAAAAATAATTTGTGCAGAGAACAGTGCTGTGCTGGGAGATGTCCCTTGTGGAATTTCTGAAAGAATAAAAACAATCGCAAAATGCATAGGCTTTTTGGTGAAATGCATAATGGGTTTTGGCTTCACCTCATTAAACAGCAGTACATAATAAATTATATATAAAACCCTCAACTCACACAGCAAACATTTTACAATGGAGTAAAAATGGAACAGAGAACAAGAATCAAAATAATCCTATCTTCTTGTTAAATTACATGCTTCTGGAAATCATTCTGGTTGGAATTAATTTGATCAAATGCTTATGTCTTAAAACATGGAGGCATGTGCATATAAAAAAATCGTCCAAGGCTTTCTTTATTTCTGTTTTTATAGAGAAGTTAAGCACATCTAAGAAGCAAGTCATTGGATGTCTAAAAATCTGAAATAAGTCAGATAAATAATTCCCAGAAGGGGCAGCTTTATCTTCATTAACCATAAAGGGAGTCCAGGTTGACTGGCTCAGATACTGAAGGCTAAATTGTTGGTATCTTAACATTGTAAGATGAATTCCTGCCTCAGAGACTACCATGATGAGGCTGATAGAAAACATGAAGATCTGAGAATTAATTTACTCTTTATCAAATGGCATTTCTACTGTAAAATTTACCTTGAAAATGCAGCGAATAGCAACACAAGGAACAGAGCAGTCTGTCTTGTGAAGAGGACTTCTGTTAGGATGGCACTTTCTGTAGCTGTAATCTATCTTCTTTCTTGTAAAACTGGCACTTAACAAGTATGTGTAATACAAAAAACAATAAGAAACTTAGAGGATAAACCATGTTAGGGTATATACTTCCTGTGTGGAAGTAAGGGTAAAGGTTTTTTTAATCATTTTTTGAAAGCCATTGGCAGAAGATAGTAAAGTAGGTTTAAGATAAAGGGCAACTTCTGTGTGGGTGGTATGGTTTGTTATACTATGATTAGCATATTTCGTGTGGTGATATCAAGTAACATCTTGTAAATCTACAGTGCAGTAATGTTAAGCCAAGTTATTTCAGAATCTGTGATTTCCCACTAATAAATCATTATACTATTTTCAGTATTTTCAGCAGTTGAAAAGATTTATATAAGCAGTATCATGACAACTGAAACATAGCAGCAAAATATCATCAGAATATTGTCCCATAATGGCTGTAGCACAGATTATGAACTACTGATGATCAAGTCTCATTTTTTAACATAAGTAAACAACAAATGAAAAGATTTTTGAGTGGAAGTTCAGAAATAAGAAAATTCCTGTATATATGCAAAGAGATGATGCATGAGCTACTTCTGTTCAATTGTAAACTTATACTGCATTCTCTGTCTTGTAGTTTGATAGGAAGCTACAGGAGCAAAAGATGGTATCTTCCTAAAGATAAGGGTTAGAACTGAGACCCACAAGTTTTTACAGACACAGGGTGGCTCTGAATGAGACTCGAAAAGAGCGTCTTTAATGACTTAGGGTAAATCCAGCAGCTGGACAAAGATGTACTTTAATCATGTTTTGAAAGCTGTCCGGGCAGAGCACAGCTGAATTTACTCCTAGGAGTAAATTCAGAATTGAGAGGAGACCTTGTGTGAAACCTGTCTGAAGGCACTCTCATTTGGAACATTTTATTGTAGTAAATTGGATCGTATTTTGGATGTAAGATACCTGTGGATACACCTCCCTCATGGGAAGTGCTTGAACTTACAATACATATTTTATTTTGACATCCATGGTCAAAACATGGTGGGGTGGGTTTTTTTGTTTTGTATTGGTGGAAATGAGACAGATGTTGCCAGCTTTTTTCCTAGATAAGCAGCTTCACCTGCTAAGATTTTATTCACTTGGCTAAAAATTGTAAGGTTTAATGAATGGCTTAAGTTGTTGGTGATCTCTGTGCTGTAAAAGGTCAAAGTTAGTTTTAACTAGTTCTAACTAGTTTTTTAACTTAGTTTTAACTAGTGCAATCTGTTGATATTTCTTAAATTCAAAGCATGGTTCTTTAAGAAATATAAAGTGAAGGAAGTTGTTTAAATCCAGTAAGTAATAGTTTTATTGCTAACATATGTTTAAATATAAATAGAGAAATAATATTCTTTACTTTATTAAGAACCATTTCATGTATTTATATACACATTCTGAAGCTTAACATATTTGACATTCCAGTGTTTTGCAACACAAAAAATGCATTTTATTACTAAATTGCGGGAATATGTAGAAGTGTTTTAAACCTGGGCTTACAAGGTACCATTACCACTTGTAACTATTTTTACAGAAATATAATATTGTTCTGTGAGCCACAGATTATTATCTGATTATTATAAGATTATTATCTGACACAATGAAATATTTTGTGATGGGATAGAGTATTATGAAAAAAGGGGGGAAAGTGTTGTCATTCTATATAGAATAAAATAAATTTAAGCCTCCTGAAAATGGGAATTGATGCAGTTTGTATATTAAAACATCACATCATGTGTACCAAGAATTTGCATGTAAGTGTAGTTGGAATGGGACATGATGAAAATGTTTTCTGTGTAAAACTTCATACGAATTTCTAGTGTATAGTGATTTGTTATTACAGTTATATGTTCATATTTCCCCTGGGTTTTTATATATTTTAATTTAACTCAACTAAGCACTGCATTTTTTTCTTTACATAGCAGATGGTACGTGAACAGTACACTACAACAACACCAGGCACTAGCCTAGAGAGGCCGAAGAATGAGTATGTCTACAAAATCGGAATTTATGGCTGGAGAAAGCGTTGCCTCTACCTGTTTGTTCTCCTCCTGCTTATCATCCTAGTTGTGAATTTTTCTTTGACAATTTGGATTCTTAAAGTGATGTGGTTTTCCCCAGTAAGTGTCCCCTTTAATTTTCTATTTTTTTCATATTCTCTTCCCTGCCTTACCACTTCACTTATTTTGTACGCGCATGAGCTTTTCTGTGTGTAATAGATAGTTGTTTTAATTCCTTCCCAACTGTAATTTGTACTTCAGTTGAAAGTATGTAAGAAATGCCTATATTTGAACATACTTCCTTTAATTTCTGTATTGATGATAATCTTTAAACTACTGAGGTTGTTGACACCTTATATTGTGGTAAATCATAACCATTCTAAGAGAGTGTATTTTACTGTTGTTTCGAAGTGTCTATTTAGTTTATGTGTTATAAACGTGTTTGCTATAATTTTATCTCATGCTAAATTCTTAAACTATTGCTACAGGTGCTGGTTTTTAGTAGATTCCTTCTTCTGTTTATCAGCATCTAAAATTTTACAATTTATTTGACTAATTAATTATAGCTCAGAGGTAGTTATTACTGCATCATGCTTGAGGCTAAGCAGCTGTATTATTCAGGAATAAATTTAATCTTTCCACTGTCATATATATTTTAATATTTATAATGTAATTTTTCATGTAGTAGATTAAAGGGTAACTCTCAGAAGTCTGCAAGATGTAGGTTTAGTCACAGTGCAATAAAATGCATCACTGAATATTAAAGCTAAGCTAATTTTTTCCTAACATGCAATCATGATACACAGATGATTTGAATAGACTTGTTTCGAGAAAAACAGTAATTGTAAAATCTGCCCCTGCTACTGAAGAAAGTGTTAAGTTCTCATTATCTCTCATTATTATGCTTCTGTCACTAAATTAAGGCCATTTTATCTTCATAGAAGTGTTTCTATACTCTAATTTCTCTTAAAGTAGGTTAATTTTAAGTCCTACTTGCTAATACAGTTACTAGCGCTGCCCATCAAGTTTCTTTCACCTGAAAGACAGTGGAAAGATAAATTCTTTTTAGCATTGTTAATTGTCATACAGAATACAATGCAGAACATCTTAGATCACATATAATTTTTCTTTTATGCAATTCGCAGGGAAGATGTACACTTAGTGATTGCACATCATGAATGTCTGAGAATATGAATAACTTCAAACTTTTCTGTGTGGCTCAGATTTATATTCTTAAGGTTTTTTAAGAATTATTTTATGTTAGTTTGGTTTGTTTGTACAAATCTGGATATTTCTTCTCTAATAACAGTCAAAACTAACAAAAAAAAAAATAGCATCAGAAACTCCACTTCTAAGAACTTCTATCTCATACTAGTTATCTATGAGGAAGGCACCAAATGTCTTGATCATCCACTGAAGGACAATGTCCTTCTTCCTTGGCATCAAGAGCAGTGCAATAACAGTTCAAATAGTGCAGGCTGGCATTTTTTCACAGGGTGGACTATGAATGACAGGGTAATGAGGGTTTTCCTAATTCCCTGTTAAAGAACCTGTATTTGTGACATACGCAATTAAATAGTGACTTAACTGTAATGCCTAGAAATTATCCATACTGTCATTGAACCCTTTTCCTGATGGAATTGAGCATTTATGCCTGCAGGGTTTTGGTTATTGTTTGGAAAAGAAAGTTAACAATATATTCTCAGATTTTTATGGTTCTTGAGTTCCAAGCTTGATTAGTATTTGCTATTTAGGAAATCACTTGATTCCTATATACCCTATTTATGCAATTAAACACTCCCATTTTTGGGAAGAGTTTAAAAGTAATTGTGAAATATTATGCTATGCAGTCATCAGTTATGTGGCAAATATTAATCTGTCAGCTGTGATAAAACTTCTTTAATTTCTTAGTTATATGTTCTATATATATTATGAAGGGATTACACTATTATATTTAATATTATTAATACATATTGTAATTTTAGCTAATACTTTAAAAGCATTCAATCCTAATTGTAAAAAATACATAAAACATTAACAACTGTTTCTCTGTAAAATATACGGAAACCAGTTGTATCCATGCTAAGGCTGATAAATATATTTAGAAAAAAACATGATAAACATTTCAAAAGGTATTTTTATAGTACAGTTCTGAAGAGAGTTTATGTCCCCCCAAAAACCTTTAAACATAACAGGATAGTAGTATGTATTTAATTTTGGGTTTTTTTTTTTAGGAAAACACTTTTGCAGTATAGTGCATAGGGGTGTTGGTGCCTTAGTGATAGTTCTGTACCACAGCCTTTTCATGAGCCCACTCAAAGTTGACAAATTTGTTATTTAGACATCAGAGTGATAAATGCTAGCAAACAAGCTAAGCTGATAAAAAACATGAACCACACATACATATGCTGCAAGATTAATAGATTTAATCTCCTTGGAGAAAATTGGTAGGATGATCAAAGACGGAGACTTCTCTAAACTCTGTTGTTTGAGAGGCCTTCAACATGAACATTACTAAATTTAACAGAATTTCATTTCGTTTTATAAAATCTACACTAAAAGGGAACAATTCGAACAGGGAATATATTCCTTTTCTCATAGTGCCCCAATCACATAATGTATGGGCATCCGCAAGTTTGGCAGATCGATTCATAGGTATCAAATATGTCTCATTCTTTTTTTCTTTTTCTCTCCTGGAGTTTGGAGGGACATGGTCTCAAGTTTTTTGTGCAGCTAAGAGAAAAAAGCTTTGGTTTCACTATAATCAGGTGTTTTAGAGAAGACAGAATCAAATAAGCATGCTTTGAGCTCAGTGAGTAAGGTGGAACCTTACTGGTGTTTAAGGACAATACCCTCCAAATGCAGGAATGATCTATCCTGCTACCTAGGAAGTAGCATGACTCATCTGAGCATGTTACATGTGACAAAGCTCCAATGCAAAGTATAGAAGATTTGGAATCAAGGACAGGCTACAGAAAAGTAATTCAGAAAGATTGTCTAGGCCAGGAAATTTGTTGGGCTTCCTGTGTCAGGAAAGCCAAAGCTCAGCTCTAGTTAAGACTTACAATGAGACAATGAGATAGATACCTAAAAAACCCAAACTGCCTGGATGATCAGGCTCAGAAGGTAGTTACTAATATGTTGCACCCTACATGAAGTCCAGTAGTAGGTATTGCAGGGGTCTGTCCTGGGACTGGTCCATTTTAATAACTTTGCCAATGGCTTAGAAGAAATGGCAGAATGCTTGCTCACTAAGCTTGCAGGTGATACCAATTTGGTGGTACCATTAAAGGCTGACATTCAGAGGAACCTAGACAGTCTAAGGAACGGTCCAACCTTATGAAATTCAAAAAGAATAAATGCAGCATCCTGTTCCTGGAAAGAAGGTGCCCCTGGTTCCAGCAGACACTGATTCTGCCTGGCTTGGGGCGGTATTATGGAGAAGGCCCTGGAGGCTGGTGCACAGCAAGCGGAGCATAAGCCAGCAGTGACCCTGGCAGCAGCAAAAGCCAAGGGCTTCCTGGACTGCATGAGCAGGGGCAGAGCTAGAGGCCACAGGAAGTGATTATCTCCCATTACACAGCACTATGTTACAGCCTCCAGTTCTGAGCCACCCAGCAGAAGAAGGATATTGACAAATTTTAGCATCATCTTTGGTTTCTAAAAGTTTTGTCTTGTGGTTGGCCATCTAATGTTGCCAAGACAAAATGTCTTTTTTCCTATAAATAATATTAGTGTTTTTCTCTGAAAAACTTAATCTTTCTTATGCTGCTGACAAAGAGAAGATAAATGTTTAGCAGGAAAAAATACTTTTGTATTTTACCTTGTTGACTTAATTAATTGAAATGACTGTGTGATTTTGAAATGCTCCACTGATGCTTAACTTTCAAGGCCATCAGTTATACTAGACTAGACACTATCACACGAGATGAAAATTTATTTGTCTAGACGCCATCAGATCCTAAAACATTTAACTAGAAAAATACTGAATATACTGAATGCAAGAATACTCATTAATCTACTTGTTCTTTTCTAAATTCTTATTGCGGTATGAACTACAGAACTGGGCATTTCCCAGTCTTTCTAACTGAAACTGCTCTGATTTATATGGAAAAAAAAAAATTTTATTGGGCTGGAGATAACACATGCTTTAGTTGTCAGACGATTACAACACTCACCTTGGACACAGAAGCTTCTGTTGTACTTCTGTCCAATTAATATATAATGAATTTATATGAAGTAGAACAAACTAGAAAAGGAATAATAGATTCCCAAAATCAATTATATGTTGGTTAGAACATGAATCTCTGGGAAAGGATAAGATTTCAGATTTTCCCAGGCAAAGGAAGAATCTTAATCTGGGAGTGCAACAGCCCAGTTGTGTCTTACAACCCCTTATTCTTAACAATAATCTTAATTATTACATCAGTACTCTTCACATGGCCCTTCTTTTCCATGTAGACTATGCTTGTAAGTTGGTCACTTACAAGATTTTGATTTTGTTCATGTCCAGTGGTGATCAGAAAATTTTACTGCAAGAATGTATGCCTATATCTGTTGGACAGGTGAATAGGACTTTTGGGGATCTGTGTTTTGGTGTTCGATACTTAAGTTATTTCAGTATCTCCCATACTAATTGCCCAACATATAAATTCCATATTGGCATGACTTTAGAAGGTGTCAGGGTTGGCAAACAATTTGATGTTGAGCTAATCTGTATTAAAATGTTTTATAAAACACTGAGCATCTGAAAGCTTTATAGAGATTAGCTGCTCAGTAAGAAGCATTAACAAGAGGTATTTGGCTTCTTAGTTTGTTACATAACTGATATGATATCACAACTATAATCTTTTGCTTATATTGCTGCCTGAGTGATTTCTGAGGGGTTTTCTCTTTTTGCATTTTTACTTTTACAGTATCTTTATATTCCTTATCAAAAGCCAAGTTCATGAGTCTGATGTCACATTTTTTTCTGAATATAACAATCTTTAGCTGTTCTACCCTGCTATCACATAGAGAATTAGTACTCATATCTTCAGAACTTCACCCATAATATTGGTTTATTGTGTCAATACTGTAATGAGTGAAGACTCAGACCAAAATTTTTAGGTCACTATTTT